TTAAGGATCAAACATGGATATTAGTACCCACTTTCCATGTTATGCCTGTTATGATTAGCCAGATGCAAGATCTCATTTGGCGCCTAGAAGGCGAGCAAATAGAGAATTCGGGTTAGGCGCTAGAAAGCAACTAGACTAATATCTGTACGGTGTATTGAGGATGACGTCACTCTTTTGGAAGAGTTACTCCTCCGTAACATGTATCACTACTAGAAATATGACTTTCTGTGTCTATCTTTTTGTGACTGTTTGTCTTGCGGTCGCAAAAAATCTCTTTTTAATTAACCCAACCGTGTTCTTAAAAATAAAAAAATAAAAAGCCCCCAAATCACTAAAAAACTTGACCCGTCCCCCTTTTTTCCCCTTATTTCCCAAATCTGAACTCTCTCTCTCTCAAAATATGTCTGTCGCTCGACTCTCTCGCTCAAATCTCACTGTCTCTCTCACTAGACTCTCACTTTGAAGAAGATTTGAAAATTTTGATCGATTGTTGATGAAGATTTGAAGATTTCAATCTGCTGTTGATGAAGATTTCGATCGATCCATAATCGAGATTCATAATCGGCAAGCCTAAACACTTCTCTTTGTCCCTCTCTGTAATGTTTGGCACATCTTCATCGATTCATCTTCATCGCTCGAATCTTACTCTTTGTAATGTTTGACGTATCTTCATCGATTAATTTGTAATTTGTAAATTGAAACATTAATCGATTCAACTGTCTGTCTCTCTCTGTAATCTTGCTCTCCTCTCTGCTCTTCGTACTCTCTCTCTCTCTATATATATATATCCATGTAATGTATCATCGATATGTGTTGTTCAATTACAACAGTGTGTAAATTACAACAGTATCACCTCCAGATGGAATGTTGCTAATATATTGCTTAGTGTTGGTACTGTGAACGCCTATTTCTAAAATGTTTACCAGTTCTGAGCATTACTAAATAAAGACCTTTTTTTTAAAAAAAGGACTCCTAGACATGCTGTTGTTGATGAAGGTACCAGAAAACAGGGTCCTTCAAAGCTCTCCTTTGTTCATTTGACTTTGTTCACATGTTTGATAGTTTTATTTGATGGATTTAATCATACTTCTGTAGTCAAAGTGATCTTTAATGGAGTGTTCGAAAAGACCTTCATTTTATGAGAAAATTATGATCCATCATTTTCTGTACTGCTTGTTGATATTAGGCATATGAGCTTTTAAAGGAAGGTGTAGATCTTCAAGCTTTTTATAGATACTTTCAGTTTATGTTCTTCACATAATTATTAAGAGAAAGTAATTGTTTTATCTATGATAATTGTTGATGGTGCAATTGATTATTGAAAATGATCACTCTGTTATTGGGGTTTTTACTTTTGGGTAAGAAAGTTGATGGAAAATTTGTGATGGAAAAAGGTCTTCACATCCTTTCTTTGACTCAGTTAACGGTCCTCCGCCGGACTTGTTGATAGTAATTTGGAAGCTCCTTACTGGAAACACTTCATCGCTTGAATTGTTCAAATTACTTCTCTCTGCAAAATTGTTGAATATGCTGTTCATTTCATGGCTGCTACATGTGCTTTGAATATCAATCAGACATGTTCTATTTAGGAAAGAAAAAATTCTAGATCTAATATTTTTTTAACTCTCGTTTCTGTCATTACAGGTCAAGCCCAAACCTAACTCAGCTAGCGTATAAGGACTTCTGAGATACTTAATGTTGACAGTTATTTCATTGATTTAAGGTTAGACAACGACCTCAATGCCTTCATTTCAAACTAATCGATGCGTGTTTTCTCACTATCTATAACTGAGTTGTAGGATTTTAAATTAGTTTTAGCATGATTGGATTGATTGATTGTGATTAAATTAGTTTTGTGAGCAAGCATTGTTAGGATAGACGTTCTCACTTAGAAGCGTGCTTATGAGATAAGCCATGGGGCACTAATGTTAGTTTTCAAGTCCAAGTTTGATGAAAACTTTCAAAGTTCATGGCTGCTCTAAGATTTCAAGATAAACTATGCTCCTTAGTGTTTTTTACCTAACATTTTTAAGAGAAAATTTTCAAATCCAAGCAGTTTAAAACTTATATTTCAAATCTATGTTCTATTTTACAAAGTCGTGTTTTCAAAATGCGACTGTAACTTCGAAATCTTGTTTGAAAACATAACTTGGGGGGTTTTGGGGATTGACTTTTTTTTAATAATTTTTTGATTTTTTATAAAAAAAAAAAATATGTAGAAAATAGAGAGTAGATTTTTTGTAATGCTTTTTTTGGACTATTTTATTTAGTTGCCAGAAGAGAAATAAGTTTAATAATTTTGTTGGAAGATAACTTGGGTTTATTATTATTATATTATTTTTGAGGTGGGTAGTGGACCATACAAGCTCTAATTTTTTCTATCCCATTTCAAGGGCTTGTCAAGAATATCATTTTGATATTTCTAGAACGATAGCTGGCTTGAATGATTGTTCTAGTACGCTATTGCTGCTCTGCTAACCATTGGAACGATAGTTGGCTTGAATGATTGTTCTAGTATGTTATTGTTGTTCTGCTAACCATTGGATCTTGAATGATTGTCCAGCTGGAATGATGCAATTAAACAATTGATAGTGGAATAAATATAATTTTTGTTTGGAAATGTTTGATTAGTTCTACAAATGAAATAAGTAAAGAAAACAAAAGGACACATTCTAGAAATTTTGACACTTCTCATCCATCCAACGTACATATATATATATATATATATAAGGGGCTGTTTGGCCTAATGGTAAACAGCAAGACTACATTAGCGAGACTTTTTGAATGGCAAATGTACTACGGTATTTTTAGGCCTTAGATTGAACATTAAAATAAGGTCTTAGGTTCTGGGTGTTGTACAATTGGGACTTTTGAAGAAATTTTTTTAGTAGACCTTAGACGAAGTGTTAAGTTGCCAGTTCATTTTGGGTTAGGCTTGCTATTTGACGTTACAGTAGAGAATATGTTTGAGTCATAATAATAATCTTTTCAGAAATGGAATAAGATTGCGGGTCTGTTAATTAGAAACAGAAGTAATTGTATATCATATCAGATACTTTGTAAATTTTTGTTACCAAAAATAGTAAAGAATTGTATATCATATCAGATACTTTGTAAAGAATTGTTACCAAAAATAGTAAAGAATTGTATATCATAGAAAATGAGGAAATTCATGAAAAGCAAGAACAGGTGTGTTTAATTTGGTTTTTGTCCCCGCATTTTTTACCTTGTAATCTCATGTAATTCGTGTCAATTTTCTAATCTTTGATGTTGTCTTGTTGTGAAAATGCATCACAATGAAAGCACTAGAAGTAGGTGACCATTGATCACATTAGTTGTTTAGATGACTGAGAAAGCACAAAATATATCATTTCCACTATAATTGTAACAGTTCTTACAGGTGGTTTTTTGTTTAGAGATGTTCCATCTAGTGCTGCTCTTCCAATTATTCGACCAGCTCTTGGAAGGCAGCACTCCATATCAGACAGAGCAAAGTGAGTGACCTAATTCTAGGAAGTTGTATTAACAATTGTACTAGAAAGCAACACCAAACTGCCTTTTTCTTTTTTTTTTCTTTTTTTTTTCCGCTTGATTTGGATGCTGTTTATGGTAGTCTGTTTGTTTGTTTCATTTTGTTCTCTTCTTGGCTTTAGCCTTTCTCTCTGGTGTTTGTTACTTCTATAGATTTCAAAAAATTGCAAATACCTTATGTTGTTGTGTTGTAACCTCTATTAAAATCTTCTGCTGTTCAAATGGTTATGGTGATGCTTAATCTTTCTTTCCTTATTTCTTTCTTTGTATATATGAGAAAATTATATTATACTTTTCACTCTCTAGTTTTCTCCCAAACTTCAGTTTGATTAAATCTTCAAACTTTAACATATGTTTCATTATAATTCTCCAGTCACTCACTGTTAAAACTTGAATAATTCTAATTCCACATAATCGATCACAGAATCGAACATAACTACTCTCTAAGTGAACTCATTAAATCTGTAGGTTCCCACATATAAAAGAGTTGTGTCTGATGAAATTTACATGGACGAACTGTTAAAAAACTTTGGACAAGTGTGAGGGTATGTGAGCACATTTTAAGGGTATTAGAAAGAAAAAATTATATGATAAATTATACTTTTCACCTTCTGTTTTTCACACAAATATCATTGAAGTCTTGAGAACTTAATTGCTACAATTAAATAATAACATACCAAAATAAAATTTAAGTAAAATGGAGTGTAAAAAATATAATTTACTTTATATATATATATATTATGGAACTCTTTTCTATATTTTGGTTTCCAGTGGTTGCATAAGGTAATGATCCTATAACTTTATTCAATACAGAGTCGTAGCTTACATTATTGGGAATTACAGGAATGGACAAAAAAAAAATATATATATGTATATATATATATGTATTAGGGAACATTACCAATATGGATATCTTTTCTCTTCAAATTACTATCAAGTCCTATTAACTTTTAATTTGGACAATTAAGTCTTATTTGATATAATTTCTCCCAAATGAGTTCAAAACTCCATAATAGCATGTTATATGTTTATGTGTTGTTTTATTATCAAGTGTAGAGCTTTATAAAGATTTTCTTTCTTTTTATAATGAATGTTTACTTGCTGTGGTGGTTACTTTTTATTCAATTACAATGTCGGTTCTGATAGTTACGAGCTTAGGAGACATCGTTGTGGACTTGCATAGGGATCTCTGTTCTTTGAAATGGCCAATGCAATTGAGAGGGAAATCACCACCTTGCAATTGAAAGTATGTTAAAGAGTTTATACGTAATGTTTATGTTGCAAGTTTTTAGTGTTTGATCTAATTATAAATTATTTGTTGATATAGGAAAAGAAGCTTGTTACGGAGATAAAGAGAACTGCTAAAACAGAAAATGAGGTACATTTTGGGACATATTTCTCTTTCTTGTTTTTATATTTAGATTTATCTTCTTATTTTTATTTGTATCTGCATTCTGCAGGCAGTAACTAATTTTCAATATGTCAGCTAATCAAGCTTAGGCAACAAATAACAAAATTACAAGCTTGCTTACAGCAAATGTCCCCAGCTAAGCAGACTGAAGAGGAAACTGAAGAGCTGACCAACCAGGTTCATTGTTTAATTTTTCTATTGGTTTATGTTTTTCTTGTTCTTCTATTGGTTTATGTTTTTCTTGTTCTTCTATTGGTTTATTTAGTTATTTATTTATTTATTTACTTGACAGGTCCTAGATGAAATTGGAGTTGATGTTGCCTCTCTAGTCAGTATTCGCAGGAGTTTTTTTATGAATTTATCTTGTTAGTTGATGCTATTTTTCATGTATTAAATTGGTTTTGAATTTAACTTGCACTCTTGACAGTTATCAGTATCGCCCAAAGGAAGAATTGTTGGAAAGATGACCGAGGATGCTAATAGGTATCTTGTGTTATATTATAAGTAAATTGACGATCAAGAACTTAACGGCACGTGTTTTGTTCTTAGAGTCACAGGGTGTGGCTGGGAGTATGAGCTTGAGAGAGGTGCAATACTTACAAATTAACAAATTTTACGTTTTATCAATTTGTATATATACATATGGAAATTATTAACACATTATACTAACATATTGTAGGTGTCAGATGCATCTAGTGGGCAACAAGCTTCAAAAGAAAATGAATAGGTATGCCACTACTATATTTCTGCATGTATTTATGATATTTACTGTGTATGAAGTTCTTGAAGGATATCACTATATTTCCCCATGTATTATGTCATATTAGGTCTGAAATTTATCCCTAGAGCATATCATATGGACCAAATCTGGTACTGCAAATGGGCTTTCTTCAGACTGTAATCTGATTCAATTGCAAATGGGTTTTCTTCAGCAATTGCAAATTCTCCTCCTTGTCCTTGTACATTCCATTCTCTTCCTCTCTTATCAGGTCCAATCTCTAGGTAATCTCTCTCTCTCTCTCTCTCTCTCTAAAAAAAAAAAAAAAAAAAAAAAAAACCAACAATCAAAGCCATTTGCACTGTGATTTGTGTGGATGATATTCACTACTGTAATATCACTCCATTACTGGGTTGACTGATCAGATTCAAGAAACACGTGATTTATCCACGTGATCCTTCAATTCATACTCTGCAGAAAAAGGTATGACCATAATTTTTCATCCACTGCGTTTATCTTTGATTTACACCGTTGAAAAGGCTCCATTGCAATGTTGAAGATGGTTCAAATGTAAATTACTAGAGAAGAACAAGAGTGACAATCTGGGCTTTTGCCCATTAAAAATAGATTATTCTTGTAAAACCCAGCTTTGACATCCAAAAGTTGTCCTTTGTTTCCCAAGTCCACTACGTCCTCCTTTAGAATTATCTGACACAAACTCACCATGAACAAATCAAACACAAGTTAGAAGGTTGACGAACAAACATTCTGACTTGAGATTTATTGGTGTTTTACTTTGCAAGTGAACTTTAAGTAGTGTATTTTTAATTTATTCAAAAATTTAAGATCACTATTAATTATTTTATTTTTTTAAAATCTTGGTAGATTAGAAACATTCGAAAAGTTAATAAAAAAAAAAAGTTAGAAAAACTAAAAGAAATACTAGAAGAACAAAGTTAAAAAAATGTATTTTGTTTTAGCACTTTCCCGACATGATTTGTTAAATAATTATTGTTTTTCTTTAATTTTCAATTAAATAAGCTGAAACTAAGAGCAATTTTTTTTTTTTGACTTAAATAACTAAAAATGTTTTTTTATTTTTTAAATTTTTTTGGGAGGGGCGGCTAAAATCAAGTGGAAATTGAGTTCACATTCCTAACATCTACTCAATTGAGATGATAATTTTTTCAAGTATCGTTTTGAATTTATTGCTACAAATATTAAAAATAGTCTACTACCAAATAGTTTTAGAATAAAATATTACACACATGTTTACACTTAAAAAGGCGAAAAAGAAAATCAATTGCCTATTATATTAATATCATAATTGCCAACTTCGTCAACATTATAAATTTTACACCTCTTTTTATAAAAAAAATTAAAAAATTCAATTAAAATAGTTAGATTCCAAAATAACCACTATAACAAAAAGCACTTTTGGCGACCAAAATTGCATTTTTCGTTGCTGAAAGTAGCAGAATTGGCCACTAAAATGGAATTAGTTGCTAAAATTGATCACTTTTTCCGACTAAAAGAGTTTAGTCGCCAAATATAAGGGTATTAGCGACTAAAAGGCAGTTTAGTCGCCGAATGTAGGGGTTTTGGCGACTAAAGGTTGTTTAGTAGCCAAAAGTCACAGTTTTTGGCGACTAAAAATGATTTAGTAGCCAAAAGTGATGGTTTTGGCGACTAAACGGCAGTTTGGTCGCCGATTATTGGTGTTTTGCCAACTAAAAATAGTTTAGTCGCTGAAAGTGAAGCTTTTTGGCTACAAAAAAAAAATTAGTAGCTAAAGGTCAAGAATTGCCGACTAAAATGCAGTTTAGTCGCCCAAAGTAGAGGTTTTGGCGACTAAAATTCAGTTTAGTCGCCAAAAGTGCTATCCTTAGGCGGCATTTAATTCTTTTAGCGACAGAAAACAAATTAGTAGCCAAAAATGGAGAATTGGCGACTAAAATTCAGATTTAGTCGCCAAAAGTGCTATCCTATTTTTTTTAGTAAATAATTTATTTTTTACATAAAATATATTAAATAAAAATAATTATTTTTATATATATAATTTTGTATTAATACCAGGCAATATAGTATATAAATAATAAATGTTGCATTAATATTCATGTGATGTTGTAGTGGCATAGTGGGGAGAAAGTGTTAGTAAAGGTTGAGAATGTTGGGACATTGCGGGTTCGAAACTTGGGACCAGCAGAGGCAAATTTTTATTTTTTTTCTGAAAAATGGTTTTGGCGACTAAAGTGTGTGGTTGCCGAAAGGTATACTTTTTGGCGACAAAAAGTTTAGTCGGCAAATGTTTAAATAATAAAAAAAAAAATCAGTATTGGCGACAAAAAGTTTAGTTGCGAAATGTATAATTTCTAAAAATGGAATTGCATTTGGCAACAAATTCTTTCGTCGCTGAAGACCTGTATATTGCCGACTAATAGTTTTTTAGTCACCAAAGGTATTCGCGATCATGTATTCGCGACAAAACCGGCGACTAAAAGTTTTTGTCAGGGAAAGTGAAAATTCGACATTTGGCAACTAAAAAAGGACTTTTGGCGAAAGGTGTTTTTTGTTGTAGTGAACCCATAATATTACAAATCTCTACCAATTAAGTTTTCCAGAGGGACTTCAAGAGAAATAAAATAAAAGACAATAATCATTCAACATTTTTGTTTGGAAATTAGTGGGTTAGCTTTTTAACTTTTTGATTATTTTAACTTGGGATAAAAAAATTCATTTGGGTTGTTGTTGTTGTGGTTTTTTTTTTTTTTTTTTTTTTTTTTTTTTTTTTTGACTTTTGTGAGAAAAAAAGTGAAATAATTATGATTTAGATATGATATTTTATGTTATTAATTTTTTAACTAATTTTTTCTTCCTGTGGCTAAATTAACCCAGAACTTCAAAAAAGTCTTTTAGTTTCTAAATGTAACTCTAAAAATAATAAATAGAAAATATGATATATGCTGGTTGGTTTTTGTTTTCAAAAACATATGTAGATGTAACAATACAGAATATATATAATTTTGTATTAATACCAGTCAATATAGTATATAAATAATAAATGTTGCATTAATATTCATGTGATGTTGTAGTGGCGTAATGGGGAGAAAGTGTTGGTAAATGTTGAGAATGTTGGGACATTGCGGGTTCGAAACTTGGGACCAGTAGAGGCAAAATTTTTTTTTTTCCTGAAAAATAGTTTTGGCGACTAAAGTCTGTGGTCGCCGAAAGGTATACTTTTTGGCGACAAAAAGTTTAGTCGGCAAATGTTTAAATAATAAAAAAAAAATCAGTGTTGGCAACAAAAAGTTTAGTCGCGAATTGTATAATTTTCAAAAATGGAATTGCATTTGGCGACAAATTCTTTCGTCGCTGAAGACCTGTATATTGCCGACTAATAGTTTTTTAGTCGCCAAAGGTATTCGCGATCATGCATTCGCGACAAAACCGGCGACTAAAAGTTTTTGTCAGGAAAAGTAAAAATTCGACATTTGACGACTAAAAAAGGACTTTTGGCGAAAGGTGTTTTTTGTTGTAGTGAACCCTTAATATTACAAATCTCTACCAAATAAGTTTTCCAGAGGGACTTCAAGAGAAATAAAATAAAAGACAATAATCATTCAACATCTTTGTTTGGAAATTAGTGGGTTAGCTTTTTAACTTTTTGATTATTTTAACTTGGGATAAAAAAATTCATTTGGATTGTTGTTGTTGTTGTTTTTTTTTTTTTTTGTGACTTTTGTGAGAAAAAAAGTGAAATAATTATGATTTAGATATGATATTTTATGTTATTAATTTTTTAACTAATTTTTTCTTCCTGTGGCTAAATTAACCCAGAACTTCAAAAAAGTCTTATACCAAACGAAGGCATAATTAAAAGGATTTTGCTCTCCGACAAAATACAAACTTCTATTGCACCTCTAATTATATTCAGTGTGTTTGGTTTCATTTTTTTGAATTTAATTTTCTGAAAGTTGAGTATTTAATTTTTCGTATTTTTTTTATTTGTAGTGAATATTTTTAAAATTTTAAACAATTTTTTTACTTTTATATTCAGTGTGTTTGGTTTCATTTTTTTGAATTTAATTTTCTGAAAGTTGAGTATTTAATTTTTCGTATTTTTTTTATTTGTAGCGAATATTTTTAAAATTTTAAACAATTTTTTTACTTTTTTATATGCACATTACTTAGATGTATCTAAATAGTAAGATATTTGTAAAAAAATATTTTAAAAAATTAATAAATATACAAAAATATAAAAAATGTACTGAATTTTTATAATTTTTTTATTTTTGGTATTTAGTGAATTTTCTAAAGATTTTTTTCACAAATATTATATTTTTTATGTGTATTTATATTAAGTATGTCTAAAAATTAAAAATAATTACTTAAAATATTAAAAAAATTTAATGAAATTAAAAAAATATAAAAAATAAAAGATTTCAAAAAATAAATTTTAAAAATTAAAACTAAACAAAGTGATTGGCTCTCATGCTCATTTGGAATGCTGTCAACGTCATCATCAAGATAATGTTCGTCCTTCAATGTCAACATTTCTATATTGTCATCATCCTTATCAAAATAATGTTCATCCTTCAATGTGGACATTTCTGATGATGGTGGTTCAATAGTTTCCATCAAAATAAGTTCTATAAGAAAAGAGTTAGGTTTGAAAATTGAAATTTTCTTTATGAAAAAATTAGTATGATACATTATTAAATTTTATACCAATTATTTTAAATATTTCAATCAATTTTGAGCTATATATTTGTTGTAAATTACATTCTAGAATATTACATACTAAGGTGGTGTTTGGGAAGAAGTTTTTTTTAGCTTTTTTTGACTAAAATAACACTAAAAAACAAAATAGACTAAAATAGCCAATAAGACAAAATGTCACATTAAACCCATAATTATTTTATTTTTTCTCTCACAAACATCACATTCAACTACAAAAAAATCCTATTATTTTTCCAAATACAAAAATTTTAGCTTCTTAAAATAGCCAAAAACTAAAA